GCGAGGAGGACGCCGGAGGTTACGAGTGCCACAGCTGCCTGTATGACCCGTTAGCCGTGCACATGCAGAGTAAAGAGAGGGAGACGCACAGATTGCTGCACCGAGTACCGCCTCCCCATAACAGTCAACCCAATAGCCATACTCACAGCCAAGCCGGCCGACCTGAACACGATCTGAACGGAAAGAGGCACGTCAAATGCGTACGCGGCGTTGTTGAGCACGCTGCCGCCGGCAAAGACGACGACTTGGGCGGCCCAGGTTCGCAGGGGGACGGCGCGGGGTTTGAGGTGGGGGTAAGGGGAGGATTTGGGCCAGGTGAGGAAGGAGGGCAGGCGGGAGAGCGCGATGAACGTCATTTGCGCGAAGGTCAGCGCTGGGCCTGTGGGGTGTTATTTTTGTGGAATTATTGGGAGCGGTAGGGGCGTACCGATTGTCGCTTCTGTCTTGAGCAGTCGCTCGTACGTCCATACGTTACTGCAACCGTCATTTCAGTCCTGAGCTCGTGGTGAACGCGCATGGCAAAACGGACCTGCAGCAGCCTCCGAATACAGCAGCGGCCATGGACGCGACCACGCTCACGGCTACAGCCGTCATAGCCGCCTCGCCCTTCTGAGCGTTGGACATGGTGGCGGTCGAGGGTAACGGACCGTGCTCAGGAGAAGAAACTACATGACAAGCCGATGTGAGAAGGAGCGCGGACACCCCTCGCCAGGTTACCCGCGACTTTGTCACACCCGCGTCTTCTCACCAGAACACACTACGGGGCAGGTGACCCTAAACAACGGTGGATATGGAGAGCCAGAAATAGTAACAGCACAGCATTCTAGTCAACAGGGTATGTTCACTACTACCAGCCGAATATCATATCCGAAACCTGTCCCAGCACACCCTTACTCGGCGTCGACGCGGGCGTCGGCCCCGGCCCAGCGCCGCTGCCGTTCGCGGCCGCAGCGGGCGTGGCAGGCGCCGTCCCAGGCTTTCTGAACGCCGACGCTGCCGGCGCCAGTCGCACGGGCGTGTAAGCGCCCCCGGCGCCTCCGCCCACGGGTGTGCGCGGGCCGCCCGAGGAAGTACGCGCGATGGCGGACGGCGGCTCGTCTACGGCCATCCCGTCTCCTCCACTTCCACTTTGGGACTGACCCGGACCGAGTGCGCCGGGGGAGGTGGAGATGAACAGGCTCGAGCCCAGCACGCTCTCCGCCTTGGCTTGGTTCTCCCATTTGGCGCCCACCATCCACTGCCCGGCCAGAATCTCGCCGTTCTTGCGTACCGCGCGCAACGCGTCGGACGGGTTGCTGTACCCGATTTTGAAGGCGTTTAGGAGTTCGGGGACGGGCTCGGCGGGGGTGCTGGAGCCCAGCTGGGCGAAGTAGGAGGACGTGAGGCTGTATTTGTCCGAGGGGTAGCCGAAGACGATCACGTAGAGCGGGTCGGGGATGCTGTTGGAGGTGGTGGTTTGCGGGGCTGGGGGGCGGGAGGAGGAGGCGAAGAAGGAGGTTTCGAAGGTGCGGGTGCGGGAGGTGTAGGTGTCGGCGCGGGTGGCGTTTACGATGTCGTTGACTGAGGCGGTGGGCGGCGCGTCTTCGTCTAGAGCTTGCATACGCCTACATGTCGTTAGCTTTGTGTGACGTATGAACGATAATCGGATATACCTGGAGCTCTCGAACATAGGGTCCTTCCCAAACTCTACCGTCGGCGCGCGCGCAAGCGACGAGTTCATCTTCGCTTTGGTCTGTACGACCGGCAACTCTTCGAATCGAGGACTAGTAGATGGTGCATTCTGCATTGCAACATGAGTGCTGGCTTCCTAGACGCAGTGTACAGTGAACACGTACGTTGTTCTGCGACGCGGACTCCAGACGACCAGACGTATAAGCCCTCAGCGAGCGAAATAACCACTGAACACACATACCAAGATATAACCCTGCTGATACGTGCTCCTGCTTCCGCCAAAACTATCATTCATCCCACCCGCACTCGACGCTCCGCCCCAAGTGCTCGCACTCGCATTAAGCCCGTGCCCGTGCCCGTGCCCAGCCGTGCCAGCGCCGCCAAAACCGTGGCTCCCTTGTGCCGGCCCGGGCGTTGCGCTCGTGCTGCGCCCGTATTGCGAGTCGTGGCCGTAGGGCGAGTATTGGGAGGAGCTGGAGGAGCTGAACATGATGGTGGGTGCAGGTGGCGAGGCGCGTTCTGAACGAGGCGCGTGACTTGGCCGATCTCGATCAAGATTTCGCGCGTTGACTTCTGGTTTCTTCTCGGTGCATCTTGACTCGCATTCACAACGACTTGCTACGCGACTCTGACTCTGTACCACCACCAACTACAAACGCTACATCATGTCCACTACGGAGAAGAAGGAGGAGCTGTTCCCGAAGATCGGGTCTGTGGCTGATACGACGGACGCGAGCGCGGGCGATGAGGAGGAGAAGACGGTGCAGGAGATCGAGTCGTTGTGTATGAACTGTGAAGAGCAGGTGCGTCTTATTGATACTATACGGTACTACTTCAGGTGGACTAATGTGAAGTGCAGGGCGTAACGCGTCTGCTGCTCACGACGATCCCGTACTTCCGCGAGGTCATCGTCATGTCCTTCCGATGCGAGCACTGCGGCTTCCAGAACAACGAGATTCAATCGGCGGGCCAAATACGCGGTATGTCTTCACTCCTCCATCCTCTATCCAACTTCAGCTTATGATGTGAGTACAGAACACGGCGTAGTGTACACCGTCCGCGTCCTCGACCGCACCGACCTCGACCGCCAACTCGTCAAATCAGAATCATGCACCGTAACCATCCCCGAGCTCGAACTCACCATTCCGCCCAAAAAGGGCCAGCTCACGACCATCGAGGGCCTACTGCGCGACGTCCTAGGCGATCTGGGCGCGGACCAGCCGTTGAGGCGGGTGCAGGACGAGAACACGTACAACAAGATCGAGAGCATCTTGGACCGGATCAGAGGGATGTTGGCCGATGAGGACGATGAGGGGGAGGAGGAGCAGACGAGCGGGCCGGTCAGGAAGGCGAGTATGAAGGACGCGCCGCTCGTGCCGTTCACGGTCAAGCTCGACGATCCGGCCGGCAACTCGTTCCTCGAGTTCCACGGCACGACGGCGGACCCGAAGTGGAACATGCGCACGTACACGCGCACGCGCGAGCATATGGTCCTCCTCGGGCTCGTTGATCCGGACGCTGAGCCCGCGCCTGCGCCTATACCTGTCGATGGAGAGGGTGCAGAGGCGATTGGAGGAGGGCTGGAGGGCGAGAACGAGGAGATCTACGCGTTCCCCGGCGTGTGCTCGTCCTGCGCGGCGCCCCTGACGACGTACATGAAGAAAGTGAACATACCGTACTTCAAGGACGTCCTCATCATGTCGACGAACTGCGACCGGTGCGGATACCGCGACAACGAGGTCAAGTCCGGCGCGGCCATATCCACGCTCGGGCGCAGGATAACGTTGAGGGTGGAGGATAAGGAGGATCTGAGCAGGGATATATTGAAGAGCGAGAGCTGCGGGATGCGGATACCGGAGATCGAGCTGGAGCTGAATGCGGGGACGCTGGGGGGGCGGTTTACGACGCTGGAGGGGATATTGGAGCAGGTTTATGAGGAGCTGAGTGAGAAGGTGTTCGCGGGGGATTCGGTGGGGGATGGGGATGAGCGGAGGACGTTCGAGAAGTTCTTGAAGGGTTTGAAAGAGGTACGTCCTTCATATTCTCTTGGCTCTGTATGCGGAGGCTGATGCAGGGTTGTAGGTGAAGAACGCCGAACGGCCGTTCACGCTCATCCTCGAAGACCCGCTCGCGAACTCGTACCTCCAGAACTTGTACGCGCCCGATCCGGACCCGAACATGACGATCGAGGAGTTTGAGAGGACGTGGGAGCAGAACGAGGATTATGGGCTGAATGATATGAAGCTCGAGGGCTACGAGGAGGACGCGGCGAAGGAGGCAAAGGAGGAAGCCGCGGCGAAGGCGGAAAGTGAGGCGAGGGAGGAGGAGGGCGCGAAGGAGAAGGCTGAGGTTGCGGCTGCGGCTGTTACTGTATGATGTAGCGGATAGAGCATGGTTCTGGGATGCAGTGATAGATGGATGTAGAGTAGCGAAACTGTATTGTACTTCTCGCCAGTGTAGCAATTAGGATCACCATGTCTGCTTGTACTACCCATTAGAGACCCTCACTACGTTTCAGTCGCCTCCAACAAGCCCCTAAAATAAACAGCACTGGTGGCATCCCAATGGGAATTATGAAGAGAATACAACTTGCTCTCAAAAAAGTTAGGCAACTGTGCGACAGTGCCCATTGGCTGGATTGAACAACCGACCTCACCATTACGAGTGGCGCGCTCTACCACTGAGCTAAACGGGCTTCACGGCCTATAACACATCACCAGCTATAGCTCAATTCATTAGGAGAAAATGGAGGACGACTCGACGCACACCCCGACAGATTACCCGAACCCCCATGTTGGTGTCGCCTTGACCTGATATCCGCCCTTGCAAATATTTGCCCTCCTCTCTATAACGGAAATGCGTTGGCCTTAGACTTGTTTCGTCGTAGACTCAAGATGCCGCGTCCACCGCCTTCCAGCCGGACTACACCGCAAGTCGGCTGTAAGCTGGCCGTAAGCTGAGCGGTGCATCGGGACCGGGAAGAGCCGTCACCTGCGTGACGCCCGCGAACAGCTGGTTTCCAGGAAACGGGGGACATATCAGCACACTGGCACCAGTTGACCCTGACTGCCAGCTGGAGAACAGAGCTGGCTACGACATGTCAGTGCGGGTGCCTGTCAAAGGGAGGGATATACGGAAGCTTCACAGAAAGCTAGGATCACTCAATATTTTTTCTGCTAAATTTCTGCTCAAATTGGGTATATTCGTTTTTCTTGTGGTCACTGCGAGCATGAATGCAATGTATATTGAATTGAATTGAACGAGTGCGCGTGTAACTAATACAGGGTAGCTACTAACGCAGTGCAGTGTACCGACATATCGAGTGCTACAGCGCAGACAGAACTAAATTAAACTACATACAATGTGAGGGATCGCCAGCGCGACGATAGTTTGGGAGTCAACACAATGCCCCTCCTTTATTCGAGCCACGAGTCTCAGCCGAGTATGGGATTGCGAGTGCGGGCGAAAGCACCCGGCATAGAACAAGGCGGGCGATCACGGAGGGACCGACAGAACTCGGCAGGAGGCACTATATACGCGCGTGCTGTAGACGGGAAGAGACGGGTGGGGGCTGTGTCACAAGCCGCGCATAGAACCAAAGGCAAGCCGCAAAGGGCACCATCTGAAAAGAACAGTCAGTGAAGGGAGGATGGGCAAACAGCGAACGCACATACGTGAGCCGCGACGGCCGTTATATACATCTCCGAGGCCGGGCTGCGCGTCCTCGCTTGCTCATGCAACCTGTGCCGCGTACGAGAAGTTCTCGTTATGCACGAGCAAGTCTGTCGACAAGATTGGGCACATCCTGGGTGTGCGCTGAATGCAGAGTCGTATCAGCTATAACCATATAGAAACGAGATGACGGTTCGCGCTGCGTTCTGCCCCGCGTCAGCTCGGATCCAGCTGCTCCTCCAGATCAGTGTCACCCATCAACGTCACGTTAGACTCAGGATTTGGCCGATTTGCGGTGTAGACTCATACCGCGTCTCGGCGCTGTGCGCGCGCCACACCCACTTTTGCCTTCGCGCGCACCCCTTTCATGGGTGCAAGTGCCTCTACGATCGGTTGGGCCCTTTCTGTGGCCTCAAGAAGACTTGGTGGGCTCATTTTCCCGACCAGGCAGGCTCTTCAAGAATGAAGCAGTCCAGGTGTTCTTGCTAGGTCTGGGCGCTGCTGGGAAGACCAGTATGGACTTTCCTCGCCCCTTGAGAGCGCGACGCTGACTGACAAGTACACAGCTATACTGTACCGGCTCATGGGATGCCTGAACTTCGTACCCATACATCCCACTCAGTGCGGCCGTCCCCCACTACCTCGCCGAGATGAGGAATTGACGCTGCTCGCAGTCGGCTGCGACCTCGAACCCGTCACCTACCAAAACGTCGATTTCATCGTTCAAGACTTCGGCGGCGGAGAGAAGCACCGCGCGATTTAGCACCGCTACTACCACCCCGGCATCCAGGCACTCAGGCCATCATCTACGTCGTGGACTGTACCGACCGCGAAAGGATAGGCAAGGCCAGGACGGAGCTGCATGAGCATACATTGTTCAGAGAGGGTCTGAAGGGCTTGCCGGTACTGGTGTACGCGAACAAGCGGGACGTAGCGGGGGCGTTGTCTGAGGATGAGGTGGCGGAACGGTTGGGGAGGCATAGTTTGAAGAGGACGCCGTGGCATGTACAGCCCAGGTATGCTCTGGTATCCTCCATGGTGCCCGCGATATACTTGCTCATGCTCGCTTGCAGTTGTGCGATGACGGGCGAGGGGCTATTCGAAGATTTACAGTGGCCTGTACTTAATCATAAATGCCAAGAAGCCGTAAAGCTGCAACGGGCGCATCAAGCGCCTGTTTGGGTGATGTTGATGCGTCGGATATCCACCGAGTCTGTCGACTGTCGGAGTAGCGTTATCTGCTCCATCAACATATCCTATCTATGGGCGGCTCTTCACTGTTACATCTGGTCGCGGTGGGCTTCGGGCTGCTTCCAACCGTCATGAGCTTGCTTCGGCTTCATTTGGGCTGGCGTACTTCATCGTCTGTTCCGATGGCGTACCGTTCGAGGTCATAACAGCGCGTGGCTCTACGGCCACGTAGACGGAATTCAGTTGCACCGCCACAAATCCGGTGATAAATAGCGCCGTCTTTGCTCCCAGGGCCGTCTCGACTCTTGAACGTCGCCTGCAGTCCTTATCATGGGCGCGAGCATTTCTGCGATTGGTCAGCCGCTTGAAGAACCATTGCGATGACGAAAATGGCTGATACGCTGAGGCCGCCGCAGGCAATATATTCGCCGACGAAGAGGTCATGGTCAATATGCTTGGCTTAGACTCCACTGGAAAGACAAGTACGGCCCTTTCCCTACGCTTTGTGGACGTGATGCTGACTGAACGTACTTACAGCTATTCTAAATAGATTCAAGGGACGCTCTGACATTGTCACCGTGCCAACTAGTACGCCGTCTTACGTCGACATCATACTCGGTCATAGCAGGCTCATCGAGATATCACAGTCGGGTTCAACATGGAGATCGTGCCCCACCAACGCCTCAACTTCTGCATCCGAGACTTCGGCGGCGTAGAGAAGATTCGGCCACTGTGGCATTGTTACTTCGGCTCGACCAAGGCCCTCATCTTCGTCGTAGATTGCGGCGATCATGAGCGCATAGAGGAGGCTAGGAAGGAGCTACGTGAACATGTCTTGGTCTACGAGAATCTGGAGGGGGTACCGGTGCTCGTGTATGCGAACAAGCAGGACTTGCCGAAAGCGATGGCTAAGGACGAGGTGATAGATAGGCTGGGTATGCGCGAACTGAAGGGGCATCGATGGCATGTGCAACCCGCGTGAGTTCGTATCTACAACGCGCTCTGGCTTCCTACTTACTTTTGTTCTCAGATGCGCGGCTACAGGTGATGGTCTGTCCGAAGGTCTCGACTGGCTTGCGCAGGCTTACCGGGATGCAAAGATTCGGTAGAACCGCAAAGCTGGCTTGCTGTGCTCCAATAGGATCTATGTACTAGGAAATGCTGATGCTGTATGTTGTGCCCGTGACCAATGCCCACGAACCTCGCTATTATCAGCGGCGTTATCTTCCCGAATCGCGCACTCTATGAATGTTGCGGGTGCTTGTGATGATATCTTGCACCGCTCTGAAAGCCCTTTGAGATAAGAAGCGGGCTCGAGGTTCACAGCAACTGATCTCGCCCTCATAGCCTTTCCCTATGGGCGCTATCACGTCTTTGCTTAGTGTACGCATCTTGATACTATGCAATGCAGATGGACAATATGCCAACGACCAGGTCAAGGTGATGATGGTGGGTCTTGACGGTGCTGGGAAATAGAGTAAGCCATCTCTTCGGTTCGACCTCTTCGCAATCGCTGCTGAATATTGGTTCGCACAGCACTTCTCAATCGAATCATTGGACGCGAAAACGTCCCGGCCGAACCGACATGTATGTCGGATTAGCCACCCCTTCTTGAACCCCAACTGATCGAGTTTTGCGGTCAGTCTTGTATCACCGCAAGCTCGTAAGGTACATAGACATACCATTCGTCGTATATGACTTTGGAGGCAGGGGCAGGCTGCGCTCAGTATGGCACTCCTTCTTCACCTCTACGGCTCAAGGCATCATACTCGTCGTTGACTCATCCGATCGCGAGCGCATGACAGAGGGGAAGGACATGCTACACGACAACCTTCTGGATGTGCGACGTCGCGAGATCGGCAATATCAAGCGATGCCCGCTGCTTGTGTTTGCGAACAAGCAGGATTACCTGCCGAAAGCCTTGTCCTCTGACGAAGTGGTGGAGAAGCTGGGATTGAGAGATATCCAGGGGATGTGTTGGCACGTACAACCTTGGTATGCTTACTTGTATCGGTATATATACTGAGACTCCATATTGATTGCCATTACCAGCTCTGCAATCACAGGCGACGGTCTCTCAGAGGGGCTAGAATGGCTTGCGCGGAACCGCGCTGGCATACCTCAACTGTAATTACTGTAGCACCGGTGCATAAGGTAGACGTAGACGATGTGATCTGTACACTCCGCGAGCTCGCCATCGCATATCGTCTTAGCTCAGCGAGCAACAGACGCGAAGACCCTCATAGGAAGAGAATATGTGCCGCACCTTTCTAAGTAGTGGTGAAGCACAGTTTCCACGAACTTGAGAAGGTGAAGCGAGTACATCATGGTACTTACAGGAACGGCATCGCGACGCGTGATGTCACGCGTGCACCGCCGATCCACGCGTCGGTCGCGACGCGAGCGTTCCTCTTGCTCCTGACCACCACGACGCGTTCGAATTCACTGCGCATTCGATAGCACACGACATAGAATCACTGATCCAGGCTCCCTTCCAATAATTCGTGAATATCTTGTATTTGCTATGCAATAGTCATGCCCCATCATTCCGCCAGTCGCGCGTGCTATGCCAGGTATTTCAGCCTCGACAGCACCTCTTCCTTGTAAAGCGTCTCCTGAGGCTGGCGATGTGCTCCCGGTATGACCTCAGCACTGGTCCGACTAACTTTGAGCTACCATAGCCAAGGTCTAGAGCTACGAATAGGGTTGGCCTTGTACCATGTCTTGGACCAGCCAGTACCAATCAGCACCGTTGACGTCTAGCCGGCATCCCCGATGGCTTTCCCAGGCGAAACCTCGACACTGGTATATAAACCTCGCATATCTGGGTAGCTGCTCCTCATTCAGTTCACGCATCTTGCACCGAGCCAGAATCTGTACCCCCGCGTACTACACCTTGCACACTTTGCACACCTTGCCTAACACGCACGTATAACTTGAACACAATGACCCCACTCTCATGGACCTACATTTCAGATCGCGCTATTGACCGTCGGCGCGAGGCTGCACAGAAGCGGGTCTTCCAGGCTGCGCTCTTCGCTGCGGAGTGCTCCCGTGAGGACCCGGCATTCGATTGGGAACACGAGCAGGAGTTGAAAAGGATGGCGATCGAGGAGGAAGAGCGGCTCGCTAGGGAGCGGTGGGACAGCTATGTCAAGCCGCCTACCCTCGGCAAGGTCGGGCTGGGCTTGGACATGATGTTCGCGCCTCGCGGTACGTCTCCTCATTCGCCCCCTATCCTCCGGGCCAATTTCGAATCAGGACTGACTTATCCCCTAGGCGCGTTCTCTACGCCTCGTTACGAGGTTCAACCCGACCTTGCCGCACGGCCTATTGATTGGATGCGTACCAGCTTCGACGACATGAAGCCCCTCGCCGAGGTGCGGGAGGAGCTCAGGGCGAAGGAGCTGGTCCGTGTATGCTCTGAGGAGTTCAACGGCGAGCTTTCCGTTCGTCTCCCCAGTCTCTCCGGCCGCAAGTTGCGCGTCGGAGAGTCTCCGCCGTTCTAAGGAAGCGGCGGAGAGCGCGCGGTAGTTGGCATTACCGCGCGGGGTGGTCTCATGCTTTCGCAGACCCCCCGAACTTCATACCTATGAATGACGTTGATTCAGCCGGCGATTATAAGCCGAGCTTCGTTGGTGGTGCATGGACACGGAGCGCGGAGTGTCAGCTGGCGGCGCAGACGTGCGTCGCCGTGGTACTTCCGCGCTCATTGACGGGGGCGTTGGGCGTATCGCGTCGGGGATACCCGTGCGAAGATCCTCATGGGCGAAGAGCGGGGAGGGCCCCCTCGCTCTGAGCTACAACGCTTGTCACACATCCTTTGGGCGTTTGGATCTTCGCTTGGTTATGAACCAGTGCGAGACGAGTGCGAGTTCGCCTCGTAGTTGGAGGCGGCCTATCTCTTCTCGCATCTCGTCCGCGCGCGGCACACTGGGTGATACCGGTGGTAAGCCCGCGCGCGGTGGTCCCGAATCTTAACACGGACCTTGGATGAGATGTGAGGAGTGTATGATTAGCTGGCGATGGCAAGCCATGCTACGAGTTCAATGGTGGTGCATGTACGGCGAGCGCGAGATACTAGTGGCATTGCGCAGATGTGCGTTGCCGTGCGTTGCCGTGGTATCCTCGCGCTCGCTCTTTTGGAGACGCTCGTCGTCTCCGGCTTCACGTCGGCGACGATGCTCTTGTGCAGATCCGTTAATGGTGACGTCTGGGGTAGATCTGCCTCATTCGGAGCCGCAACACCCGTAACTCTTTACTTTGGGCGTTGGGATCTATGCTGAGAATCAGTCGACGTGAAGCGACCCAAAAGTACGAGCCGAACGCCTTTAAGCTCTACTCTGGGGCTTTCCATACATTCTCCCCCTCCACATTCCTCCATCGCACGGCTTGCTTTCCTCTTTGTATCTCTTATGTTTCGTCTGCTTGTATCCTCCTCTACTTAGTACATCATCCACATCCTTAATACTCCAACATGGCGGTAGCGCAAAACGTTGGGATACAGCGGTGAGGAGCGTAGCAGGCCACTGCGCCCCAACATTCCTCTGCGTCTCATCGTATGTGTATGCGCCGCTTCTCGACATCGATCTACGTATATCTCCTCTCCTTTATCCCATCCCATCTCTCCATATAAGGCGGAAGCGCAGAACGCCGGGGCATTACGGTGAGGAGCGTGGCAGGCCACCATCGTCTCCAATACTCCGTTGTGTTTTCCTCGGCGTAGATGCATGCACCGCTTTTCCCATCTCTTCTTTCTTTTTATCTTTCATTTTTCTTTGCCGTTCGAAATTGCCACGTGGCATGAATGTATACTTCATTGCTTCTGTCTAAGCTGAACCAGTCTTGTGTGAACGAAAGGGCTATCGTCTGCGGTAGCGACAATGCTCTTCGCCCGTCATCGACTCTTGATCAACGTACTGGCCCGTACTCGTCTCCACAAAGAAACAAGACTTGCTATATGCGTCGGGCGCTGCTAGTGAAGCTGCGGAGAAAACTTGACTGTACGAACTAGAAGGGGCGCGGTGGAAGTTGCAATCAGCGTAACGTTTGAGACTACCCTTTTCGGACAACGCCTTGTTCATCCCCGGTCGCATTCGTGTGGCGACGGGCTTTTGTAGAATGTAGAGAGGCGATAGCGGCGTCGGTGCTGCATGTAGTCCGATGCTAGAAGTGTGAGCCATGCGTCCAGTCTTCGCACACCTAGCGACTTCTTTGTCGGTCAGGTTGGCTTCGCTTCTTTGCAACGACACGCATAATTTGCATGAACTTCGGTCGCCTCGCATAAGCCCCACACGAAGGACGTCTAAGCATACTTCCCATGACATACCGCTTCGCCCTACGTTCCCATTACCTGAGAACGTATACCAGCCCAGTCAGCCGCCCACATAGAACAAACGTCAAACAGACTCGTACGAATCATCGAAGATCTGCCTACACCCTGTTCCGATCAGCATTAGTGAAGCTTCAGCAACCAGACTTCCGAACCGCTGACCATACCGACTGCATGCCAAGCGAGAGACCCGAACCAAGTATGGCGCGCCCTGCGGAGTGATTGTCCGATATCCAGTTAATAAACCATTCCAGTCCAGCAATGTATACACGGTAAAACAAAACTGAACAGACGAAACACGACGAACGGTAAGACAGCGGAGACACCCGACGTAAAAAACGAAGAAAGAGATGCGACAAGCGAAGGAGAGGGGCTGTATAGGAATAGTGGTAGTTGGCGGACACAACTCGACCAATGTGAAACGACAGGCGTAGGGCGACGGGCTGTGTGCGTTTGATGAGGCTGCGAAGATAGAAGGAGGTATTGAGGCGGTGTGAACGGAAAGGGTGGAGGGGGTCAGGCGATGCATAGTACGAGAGAGGACAGGCGGCGGGGGACAGGGTCAGATGCGGATAATTAGCGCCCAGGGTGGGGCGGGCCAGGATTAGCTATACGACGACGGCGGCGCGGCAGCGGCGTGGGGGTATTGTGGACGAGTGAACGAGCGGGGCAGGGGCGTGGCGTAGCGATGCTAAGGTATTTGTTGCAGATGTAGTGTTGACAACGGGAAGAACGTCGTGCAGGGTCGTGAAGAGCGTGGATCAAAGTTTCCAAGATGCCGGGGGCGCAGAGGTTACTGCGCATGAACCGGCTCGACCTTCTCGCTCATCTCGTGCTCGTCAACGCCGTGTATGTGCCCATCGTCGCTGTGGATCGCGCTCAGAGGTACGCCGACCTCTGTTATACCGTCCGCCGAGGGCATCCGCACGGGCCCGTCCATGTCGCCCGAGATGGCGGGCGTCACTGGTCGGCTCGCGACCATGCCGCCCGTACTGCTCGTCGCCGTCATGGTGCTCACGATCTGTTGATTGTGCGGGTAGTACGACCTGCGGTGCATTTGCCTGAAGTCGTAGATCGTGAACTGCTCCTCCATCTGCCGCATCTCCGCGCTGAGGGTGCTGATGTCCCGATCCTTCCGCTGCTTCGCCTTGAGGGGGTTATCCTCCAATAATAACTCCTCGAGCTCGTGCGACGCGTCGAAGTTCGCCTTCTTGCTCTAGAGATTCGAAAAATGGAACAGGGGTCAGCGTTGCGGGGATAGGGGGTGGGAAAGGAATGGGCGCACGTCAGGCACGAAAGGCGAAGTCAGTTCTTTCCGCGTTAGCGTCTCCCAGTCGATGCCAGCGAACCACGGGTGCTGCTGGATCTCCTCCATGCTCTCGCCCTTGGGGCTGCACGCGAGGCGTTTCCATGGGTCGCGGTCGAGGAACTGTATGGTAAAAGCGCAGTTTGATCAGTTTTGTTGGCCGGAAGCCACAATCTCTCGGAGCAACGGGGAATGATAGACGCACGCCTTTGATGGCCCTCATACCGTCCTTGCTGCACTTGGACTCTGCGTTCTCGGGGAAGCGCAAGGTGTCTTTGGATATGCTCTGCGTGAGCGCCGTGTTGGTTCTTCCGCGGAAAGGTCGACGGCCGAAGATGAGCTCGTAGGCGCATACGCCGAGAGACCACCAGTCGATGGGATAGGTGTATCCCCGCTTGGTAAGGATCTCGGGTGCCATGTACGCCATGCTGCCCGCAACACCCGTCAACATGCGCCGTTCTGAAAAGTGGACGGCGATGTTAAAGTCGGTCAAGTGAGCGTGACCGCGCTCGTCGAGGAGGATATTGTCGGGCTTGATGTCACTGTGGAGGTCTCACGATAAGCGACAAGGAAGGGAGGAGGTGGAGCGAGGGGAAAACGGACCGGTGCATGATACGCTTCTCGTGGAGGAAGGAGAGGGCAGAGGCCAGCTCGGCGACGTAGAATCGTACAGTCTCCTCGGAAAGCGAGCCGAGGCGCTCCAGATGGACTAGCGGCGGCGGGAAGTCTGTCAGACAATGGGAGATGAGGTCTGGGAAAGAAATGACGCACAGCGGAGGTCGCCGCCGAGCATGAGGTCGAGAACGAAGAAGCAGTTCTCGTCGTCCTGGAACGCGTATCGCATGTTGACGACGAACGGGTGGTCGATCTGCATATGTCGTAATGTAAGCGGGAGCGGTCAGCTGACTGAGCGGGGTAGACGACGTCGCACCTCCTCGAGGAGACGACGCTCCTGGATGATATTCGCGACGGCCTTCATCTTTACACACTTGGCCTTGTTGATGTACTTGAGCGCGTACAGATCTCGCGTCTGCTTGTGCTGCACGACCCGGACCTGGATACAAGAGCTTAATTCACCGACATAAATCGTGGTTTCACAGTGCGCACCTTTCCGAATGCACCCTTTCCGACGCATCTGAGAAGAATAAAGTGGAACAAGTTAACGTCGCCTTCAAAGTCGATGACCTGGGGCGGGTTTAATTGATAGAATCAGGAAGCTTGGGGAATGTATTCTGACCGTGGGACGGCAGCATAGGGCGCCCATCGTGCTTTGTCGTGCCGGTCGTCGTCGCTGTCGTCGTGGAGAGGGGGAGAGGGAATGTGTCGCCTGGGAAAGGGAGGGAGGGGGAGGAGCGCGCTGAGCAAGACGCGGTGGTCTGAAAGAGGAAGCGGGCGCCAACAAGTCGAGTGCGCCGTCCGTCCCTTCACACGCTTCCCTTGCCACCATCAGCCTCCATCGCAATATGCTCGCCGACTTTGCACGTCCCCTCGTCTGCTCAGGGCCTTCGGGCGTCGGCAAAAGTACTCTACTCAAACGTCTATTCGCCGACCACCCAGACAAGTTCGCCTTTTCCGTCTCCCGTCAGTAACATTTTCCCCACCTCGCGGCTTCGTCGGGAGCCTATTAGGGCACGTGCTGATCCATGTTCAATATATTACAGACACTACCCGCAAGCCCCGCCCGGGCGAGGTCGACGGCAAGGACTACAACTTTACCACCCGCGAGTCCTTCCTGGCTCTCGTGGCCGACGGCGGGTTCATCGAGCACGCCGAGTTCTCGGGCAACTTGTACGGAACGAGCGTGCAAGCTGTCAAGTCGATCGCCGCCCAGGGCCGCCGCTGTATCCTTGACATCGAGGTCCAGGGCGTCCGCCAGATAAAAAAGACAGACCTCAATCCAGTATACCTCTTCATCGCGCCTCCTTCAGTCTCTGCCCTGCGCGCCCGCCTGCAGGGACGTGGCACCGACGCGCCCGAAGCCGTCCAAAAGCGCCTCGACACGGCTCTTCTCGAGATTGCGTACGCCAAGGAGCCCGGCGCGCATGATCTCGTCATCGTCAACGACGACCTCGAACGCGCGTACACCAAGTTCCAAGCTGTGGCGCTCGGTGAAAAGATCGAGAGCGATGTCCTCCCGCCGCTCGATGATTGATGGTAGAAGTGTGGGGTAAGATTATAGAATACAGCATCGAGGGGTTACGGACGGTATACGGATGAATAATGTCTAATGTAGTATTATACGCGGAAACGCAAGTAGGCCATGAGCAGCGCAGAGCAACCGGTGACTTGACACGTTCGTGAGCATGATGTCAGGCGCGAGGTAGACGTGTGGCGACTTACCGAATCCGACGATATATTGCAAGGTCGTAGCCTTGCTTGACTGGATCGCTGCACGTAGACCGGCAATCTCTTGCTCAATGCGGGTATCCACTTCCTTCATCTTGAGCTCTTGCCGGCTGGCCTCTTCCCGGATACGGCCCTTCTCGAGGTTCAAGTCTAGCCGGACGCCTGCCTGTGTCCGTGCCACTTCCTCCCGTAGTCGGGCCTTCAATTTGTCAATGTCGGCAACAAGGCGTTCGTTCTCTGCCTTGATCATTGACAGGTCGTTCTTCTCCATCAACTGCAGCTCGCTCTTGAGTTGCGCAAAGTCGACTTGTTGCGTATAGTGATGCTGTACGTCGTTGAGACGCGCCTACAATCACAACCGCTAGCAAAACATACCTTCTCCTGGTCAGCTTTTGTGACCATATTACCCGTCATATTCCGTATGCTCTCATCAATAACCTCCGCAATAGCAGTCATAATCCCCTCCGCCTGCGCCCGACTCAACCCCTCCTCCTCCAACCTCCTGACGAAATGATGCGTGTCAAAGTGATATCTCCTCAGCAGGCCAGTAGTAGAGACGGGTGGGAGGAGGGATCTTCGCCCAAGCGTAGAGAGCGAGTGGCGCAGCATGGCGGGACGGAACAGGCACGCACCGGGGCCGAGCGCGCGCGCTTGCTTCGACGCGTCTCGCGTGCGAAATTTCGACTGGTCCAACTTTCTTCTCGCCTTCACCGTCGCGCTTCTCCGCACCCTGCTGTTCTGCTTTCTACACTGTAACGACTTTGTTAATACTGCGCGACAAAGATGCAGGCAGACGACGTGATATGGTCCGCGATCGGCCAGTCCTTCTGCTCCTATAAAGTCAAGTGCGAGTCCCGCTCGAAATTTACCCCGCGCGCGCCTCCATCCTAAACGCGCACCCGTATTTATTAGAACCGCGACACAAAACTTCTGCCGGAATGAGTACAACGTTACGGGGTTTTGCACGCGTCAATCATGCCCGTTGGCAAATTCGCGATACGCGACGGTGCGCGAGAAGGAAGGTGCGTGTTAGGCCGTGGTGGTTGTGGGAGGGAGATGCTGACGGTGTCGGGATTGTAGGGGTGTTGTATCTGTGTGTGAAGACTATTGAGAGGGCACATAGTCCGAAGCATATGTGGGAGAGGATAAAGTTGAGTAATAACTACTCGAAGGCGCTCGAGCAGGTGCGTGCATACTTCCGCGTCTCGGGTCGGTCTTTGTGCTCATGCCTGCGTCTTATTCTCCTTCGCCATCGTATCGCTTGTCCACTCCGCGTATACGTACGCTATAACCCACACGCCGACGCTGTCCCTGCATCCCTCGCCTGTTCACCTGCTGCGCTCGTCCCTCTCGATATCGGCGCCACAGATCGACAAGGAGCTGCAATACTGGCCGAACTTCACCGTGCACAAGTGCAAGCAGCGCGTTACGAAGATTACACAGTACCTCATCAAAATGCGCAAGCTGAAGCTACGAGAACAGTACGTATCGCTGTTCTATCTCTTCGCCCACCTCGCTCTGCGCGACCGAGCGCCCTGCCTCCTCTCGCTCTTCCCTGCGTTCATCGCGCTCACACTCCGCCCAACAGACCAAAACTCGTCGGTATAAAGAAGAAACAAGACCGCCGCGAAGCCGTTCGCGAGCGCAAAGCCCTCTCCGCCGCCCATCTCGAACGCGCAATCGAGAAAGAACTCCTCGAGCGCCTGAAATCAAAGGCGTACGGCGACGCGCCGCTGAACGTGAACGAGTCGGTGTGGCAGGCTATATTGGATAAGGAGCGGGCGAGAGAGAAGGGCGTGGAGGAGGGGGTTGAGTTGGAGGATGAGGAGACGGACGAGGAGGAAGAGGAAGTTGAGGAGGAGGGAGAGTGGGGCGAGAGGGAGTTTGTTAGTGATATTTCTGGCGATGAGGATGGGTTGAGTGATTTGGAGGAGGTTGCGGTACGTCCATCGGGGTTGTCGATGCGAGGGTGTTGGTGCTAATTTCGCTACAGGAAGGGGGGAGTGCAAGCGATGAAGACGAGGACGACGATGAGGGGAGCGATGAAGATGACGAAACTTCGCGCAGACCGCCGAAATCGTCCCTTGGAAAGCGCAAAGCCGCATTTCCGCAACGGAAACCGAAACGTGGGTTCTTAATTGGGTTCTTCGCACGTTGCAGCTTTAATGGCGTGATGCATAGGTGGACCCAGAGTTGAGGTCGAGTACGAACAGGAGACGGAGGCCGTTGGTGCGAGGAGACAGGCTATGCCTGCGTGGTGAGGTGTACCACTCTGTTGTTCATGTTTGTCGGGTTATACATAGCGGTTGGATGATTTGTTCAAGCCTGCGACTCATCGTCAGTTTCGAGTTAGTATCCTTGATACTGTGGTGCACTTTAACTGAAGGCTGCTACTTGTGCACAACTTGGGAAGGTCACGTACAGTGGTCATCGACGGGCCTGAGCTTCCCGGAGCCAGTGATGCATTCTAGTACAGCCCCTCCGGGGCACTACTGGGGCTCTCTTATGCAGAGGCCAGTTCTTTCGAGGTGTTAGAAGAACGAGCTTTTTACAAGACAATTGTGACATTTTGCTTCACCACGACGTGTCCGGTGAATCGAACCTTGCCCCTTTGATCTGGGAAGCCTACGGACTTGTACAACGACGCGAGACGGAATTGAACAGCTGAAGCTATTCAAATTTCAGGCCCAGGTTTTCCGTCGAGCAACCTCTCAGCGAAGCATCACCATTCTTGGACTCATATGGGATGTAGTAGTGGACGGCCTGTTTTGCAGCACTTCTGGGTTTATCCGAATCCTTTCTTGGAGCTCTGGCAGCAGCCTCATTCCTACAATAAAGGGAAGAACACAAATCCATTCTGTGCTCGATGCATTGTATCAGCTACAAAGATGAAGTGCTTGTATCCGTATGGCCACTGCTAGAGTGGTCAACTACAATAAGTTACAGCCGTTGGACTAAAGATTGGCAAAACCAACAGGAGGGAGAGAGATAGAAAATAATTATAAATTCTGTTGTAATATCCTCAAAATAATAGAGCATAGCTCCATAGATTATAGAACACCCCAAAACACTCACTATTGTCACTACATGTGGATGTGCACATGATGAGGTAGAGTGCAGCTGTCATAGTTCGGCTGTCACGTGACTAGGCAATATTCTTATTCTTTTCCCTTTCTTTTCCTTTTCTGGTTCAGCATCTTGGCATCTCGGCATTCCAGCACACAGACTCCGGACTTGCATGACTCATGTCATTTACATATGACTCGGCCCGCTTACACACCCTTCCCTTGTCAGTGGGGCCTGACTTGCTCAGTCATCCACCTGCCTGTCCATCGTTGTCATCATACACCCCCAGCCGTTCTGGCAGTTTGAGACCGGTTTCGGAATAGTCGGTCTGATACCGGCATGTTCGGGTTCAGCTTCGGTCTTGCGCATAAGGTGTCACTGGGTTGGGCCCAAAGATGGCGTCAAACCGGTGCACAGTCGGTGCTCAACCGACGCGTTGTTTGGGCTTTTTGTCAGCATTTTTTCCGTTCGGCCTCGGCATTGCTTGCAGCCGATAGCATGTGACATCACACTTTGTGAGAAGAAAAGAAAAGAAATATCATTCTCGACGCCTCTACAGTACTACATGATTATGTCTGGACACATAACACTAGGAACACCATTCAGCTACTACATCCATGTCAAGTAAACACCCTCGTCGTTGGATAAACTACCAGGATGGTTAGTACATTGAGCAAATGTAGAAACTGTGGAGTATAACACATACCACAATAGCCGGTAGAAGGTAGAAGAGCCCATATCCCAGCAGTTTGAGCAGCACCAGCCAGACAGATTCAGAGTAGACAAGGCCCCGAGCAAGATCGCACAGAGACGCCCGAGAAGCAAGGTCCAGCGAATTTGACTTCCTCGAAGACAGAACCCATGGTGCCATCCAAAGAGCGCAAAGACCAACGAGACCAGTTCATCCAGTTTCTGTGCAAGTGAGTAGCTGGGTTGGAAAGCTTGAGTAAGTATTAAATTGCAAGCCGAGTCGAATTGACGACATACCTGCCAGCACGAACGAATCCAGCACCAGCCATCACTACGCGGCACCGGAGACCATCTGCGATACAATATGAGCAATTGCAATAGTATAGATCATCAGGATACTCGCCTATATACGAGTCTTGTTAGTAGGTTGGCGGAGTCGGTCACGTATGCTGGCACTACAAGAAAATCAGATAATGGCTGCGCAATACACGATGCACGACCGGGTACTTATCCAGCAAAAATTTAAGGAGTTGAGCAAAAGAGGAGGGTGCTTTGGTTGAGGGTTGCGATGATAGCGAGATGGTGGTAAGAGCGAAGGTCATGAACACGCGTCGCACGCGTGTCAGCCGCCGCCGCGACGCGTTCGCACCCACACCGCAGAGTTCTTACAGTGTATCCCCGTCGAGATATAAGCAATGATAGAAGTATATTTGAGAGTACGTATTATTAAGACAGGTTCGATTTGAGCGTGAAATAAGTAGTCTACTGTGCCATCTGCTGTTGGCACATCTGCTGGATGGTCAACGGGCCAGTAGAACTGGAAGCTGCGGGGGGCTCGGGACTGGCGGAGGCGGCGCGAGGCGTGACGGGAACATCAAATTGAGGGCCGAGGGGTTCGAGCAGTTTCTGGCGATGAGCAGGCATGGCGCCATGCCCGAAACGCTGGCGATCGAGGCAAACCGTCTCCAAATAGTATCTGGATGGGGGTCAGAACAATGCTTCCCAAAGAGTAATTGTGCATGACTCACTCCTTCCATGCCTCTGAGTTCAAGTCGTCGCCCTTCTCGCCCAAGAGCTTGGCGAACCAGGTGTTGACCATAGGCCAGTAGTCTTTGCCCTTGGCAACCCTACCACCGGGCCCTTTCCTCTTCTTCGACACCTCCACCTCCTCACCATCTTCGCCGCGCTTCTCGACACTTTTCAGTACCCACTGATACCACTGGTTCTCGTATGTGAAGCGGCGCTACGGTGAGTGTATCAGCTGCGAGACGACAATTGTGAATCAGTGAGGACGAACCAAAAGCGCGGTATGTATCTGATAGCGGACAGGGATCGGGTTCGATAGCAAGTAGAACGACTTGCTCCTAAGCTTGTCGGCAATGTAGAGCGTCGCCTCGCCGAGCTCCTTCATACCAGAGTTCTTTGCGGCTGTCACAAGCATGGTGTCATAGCACTGTAAAAGAATGAACAAGGAGATCCGAGCGAAGGGACACAAACGACGCACATCGAGGCACAAGATCCCCCTCGCCCCCTTCGCCTGCAGCTTGCAGTCGTCGCGCAAGACCTCTACACCGTTATCCTTGCCTTCCTCGTAGACGTCGGCAAACTTGGAGTCCGCTTTCATCTCCTTCTGGAGAGAAAGGAGTCAGTATCATAGTGTACAAGATGGTAAGATGGAAACAAAGCACACCTCCAGGTCGGTTGCGAGATCAGCCCAGCACGTACGCTGCGGCTCCCAGACACGAACCTTCAACTTCTTGATGACGCGGTTCTGTGGTGGCCATCTGTTAGAATTGGGCGAGCGACGCATATGTAGATGTATGGACATACGTGCTGGGAGCGTGTCAAGGCAAATCGCTCCTCCCATTGCCGCAGAGTGATATCGATGAGCTGGTTCCACTTGTCGAGCTTGACACGCTGCTGCTTCTGTTCGTTCTGGACACTGTAGATTAGCGCAAACATGTGGATGCGTGACTGAATGTCGCCGAAGTGGAGGCAGTTCTTCATGGACTGCGAAAGGAGAAGATGTATGAGTGGATAAATATGAGCGAAGCAATAGTCGGAAGACATACATCGACATTAATATGAAGGTCGGTGATTTGCTCGGGCGTGAGGGTACAGTCATTCCCGACAAGGTTTGCCCAGCTCTTCAGTTCAGCGACCTGAGCCTCGGTGTTCATGACGAATGACGTAGAGTCGCAGCCGGTGTTGAATTGACCGGGGAAGGAGCCTTGCTGGAGACTGGAGCCGTCGAACTCGGGAGTGAAGCCAGTGAATGCCGACATGGTGGTGGACGATGGAGAGCATTGTGGCCGACATCCGAGCCTTTATATATGCCCTCCCGGGCCTTCCAGTCAACAGAATAACGTGACGCTGGCATGGCCGATGCACCGAGTGTTGTTGACGTCAAAAGCCGACGCGAGTCCGCGCCACGCGGCGAGTGAGGCTCACCGCCTGAGATTCCGCATCTGACTTGCCACAAGATCGGGCAAGTCAGCTCGTTGGCCAGCTGTATTCATCATACCAGAGACCCATAGTGTACTAGGTTTATTGCTTGAGGGTAAGCGCATACGTGCCGGGATGAGCAAATAGCATTGCAAGAACGTGACCATATTGAGGTGCCGATGAGTGACCTGCTGAAACTACGGAATAGTGTATCGAGGGCCCAGACAGTCGATACAGTATATACGAGCAAGCATTCGTTACATGGTCATGGATGTCAGAAGCAAGGTATTCTCGGCGTGCGCACACATCTTCCCACCGCGCATGTCTTCCCACCGCATTCATCTTTCCACCGAAGAGGTGCCCACACCACCAATCCTTCTTGTCTCTCACCACGAACTCACCACCCTCTTCGTTTTATGGCCGCAATGGCTCAGCCTACCTGATGAAAAGTAAGCCATGAAGACCATTAGACACAGGCAAACTTCTTACCTCAGGTATAGCTCCCAATGGGCTCGGTCCCGGACCTCCTTGTCCTCGTCCTCGTCCCCGCTCTTGTCCTCGTCCTCGCCCCCGCCCACATCCTTCTCCACGTGCACGAGTTGGATTACCATGACCACAGCCTCGAGCTGGGCTTGTGGGGATTTTCCGCGATATCTTCTTCTGTGCTTTGCCCACCTTCCGACTGTCGACCTCCTTCTTCGCACCTTTGGCGACAACCAGCTCCAAGTCTAGGGCGGGAGTGGACGTGTCACAAGCGTTGCGTGCGCAGTGGTGCTGTACGTTGACGGGGCATATGATGGACTGAGACTTGAGCTCAATAACACGTCACATTTAGTGAGATGAGAAACTTGCCTCAAAATCGATCAATTCACTCCCTCGCGCCACTAGCATAGGCATTCGGTATGCCTCTGCTTCCCTATCAGGCAGCAGACAGTCAACAAAGACCTTGTCAGCCTTGCCAACGAGCTGCCAGGGTGAGCCCAGGATCTGGAGTATCTCGACGATACGGCCAACAACTACCACAGACTCTGTATTGTTGCCGTCCGCGTTGGGAGGATTATGATGCCTGTATAGAACATACGACTGCTTTGATATCTTGTCGGTGCCTCGGACAACTGCTTCAGTGCAGGGGATGTATAGCTCCTCATCTGTCCGTGGAAATCGTGAAAGAGAGTTGAACTCAGACCACTTGCGTGGGCGGTTATCCCGCCGATCCATCGTGACCGCGCCTGCTCATGCTTAGCTAGGTAATCAATACGTGTCACAAGAGACAAACCCTCTATGACAGGAGCATCGTCATGTATGCCCAGTTGGTCCGCAACATGAGCGAGTCAGCTCTTGGAACGCCTCTCGACGAGGGATATGCACTCGCCGCCGGCTGTATTGAGATCACTGCGCTTTGGCGGCACATTGAGTACTGGGGCTTTGGGATCTCGTGTGGGGAATAAGCCACCACTCATTATGTGTCGTACACGGCTAGCATGAGCAAGACCCAGAGCGATGTCGCGTGAAGGAGCGTGTCGATTGCTGTGGATGCTATGGTCACGTATGACTGCATTGAAGGACTCGAAGGCTTCTGTGGCGAAGAGAACGGCAGGACCAAATCGGCGTACATGAAATGGGAGGTGACGGAGAAGATGAAACTTTGGTTTGTTGAACCAACGTGGTGTCCAACGCGCCGTGCATTTGAGGAAATAGTCAATGACCGTCTCCATCTCGGCCTGATGAACTAAGTGAGCTATCGCACTGTCTCTACTGCAAGCTGCACTCACGATATGCTCGTTCAAGTTGAATATCTCAGGTTGCCAGATGAGTGGAACAAGACGGGATAAAGCTATCCAGGTATCGTAGCAGTCTGTCGGAGCCAGATCGTACAGAACGAAGGGAGCAACCTGTGCAATCGCCCGAAAGTCGCGCCCGGTCAGAGACCCCACATATTGAGTCAGAGTTTGGCCAACTAAAGGCGAGATCCCGAGGCCAGATACGTCGACCGAAGATAGACATGTAGGCAGCAGCGCCTTATCTTCGTCCTTCAAGCGTGCTATGATATCCCTCCAGAAGTACTTGACAAAGCCGAGGAGGACAACGTGTAGAACCTCAACCGGGGTATCCTTGTGCACGTCGAGATCTACAGGTTGGTCAGTGGATTGAAAGTCAACCTCCAAGAGTTGATCATACCAAGAATGCGCTAAACTGGACTGGTCGGATCATCCGGTATATGGTCCCGCACAAACTGATTGATAAGTTCTTGCTTTGCCGCCGTATTGCCTCGTAGATCACGGGAAAGATCGTAGATCTTTTCCATGAATGACGACTGTATCGTGTCTTTGACACCGAATTCAGTCTGCTTTGCACGAGACCGAGTCTTCCCGCCGATGGTCCGGGCTTCCGAGAAGATGGAGCGGAGCTGAGCACGAGTGTCATGTTTGTGTCGTAGAGGATTGTCCTGCGAGCGGTCAATGATTATTCTGTAGGAGCACTTAGATGTAAGTGTATCGAAAGGAACCGTCGCGCTCGATCTATCATATCTTTCATAGTCTCAAGTGGCCGTTTCTTCTTCTTCTTTCCTTGAGAGGGAGTAGAGGCCTCAGACGGGACAGATGAAAGGCCTGCAGATGATGCCGCAGATGACGATGGCAAAGTACCAGGCAATGTGGGCTGTTCGGAAGCGGATTCATGATCAGATGAGTTGTTCTGGTCCTCAAGGGGACCCCTGTGCATGGGTGCACCAGGCTCGAGAGGGTCTATGTTGAGTGGGCTTGGGAACACGTTCCGTGTCTCTGCCTCGTCTGCAGCGTCGCACCCTTTGACCCGACAGACCCGACAAAAGAACTTTCCCATCAGTCCGATGTGACATGCAAGTTCACTTTGCATAGGGTTGTCGCCAAGGAGTGCCAGTACAGCTGGTATGACAAGCACAGGCTCATCGCGTGCGATATCCCAGACCCAGAAGCCATCGCGTTGACCTTCCCTAAAGTATCTATAAGCATAGTAGCCTCGCGCTTTGAGCAGCAATGACGTACTCAAGTTGAGTGGCAATGCCATCGAGCATCTCCAGAGGAGGGGCTATGTTGGAGGTACTAAGGAAGTGCACATTATACTGCTGTTGAGACATCTCGTGAGACAGCCCAGCAGGTGTCCAAAGGAACGAGTTGTGTTTGTTCCACTTTTTGGAGAGATTGCCGGAAGTATCGTTGCAATAGAGCCACATCCAGAAAGAGACAACGCGGTGACCCATAGCTTTCTGCCGCCAGTCGTTGCCAGTAGCACCCGCATTTGCTGTCCGTGTCCAGGGGTGGATTCTGGCGTCGCTCGGTGCCTTTCTGACCCCTATGGCAAAGGACAGTCACGATCAGAGTTGTATGCACTAGGTTATGTCACCGATACTGACCGAGGATGATTCGTGGGTCAGGAAGACCATCAGTTCGAGCAGTGCTGCACAGCTGCGTGAAGCACAGTGAGAACTGGTTTACCGGAACCTCCCAGCTATCAAACTCCCGGACAACCCATCCTAGTGCACCCGTCGGCGATACAGCAGCCTCCAAAGACCATACGGCCGCAAAGTATTGGTCATGCACATCGACCTTGCGAGTGTAAAAGCGGTGGGGCATGACGACGGCTTGGGACGTGAGCTGTGCAGGCTCGAAGATGTAGAGATCGCGATCTGCGGAGCCCTTGGAACCAAGGCGCAGCATCGGTGTCAAAAGTGCAGGGTCGGCTTCATGGAGCCAACGCGAGCCTTGCCATGCCTGCGCAAGAATGTGCTGGGAGAACTCAGGGAAAGCGTGTAGATGCGGGGCCACTCGTGGGTTCGTGAACTCCTGTTGGACAGTTGGTAATATGTCGACGGATCTGAGAGCACAAGGAGAGGATCTACCTGAGCAATCTGATCCATGAGACTATTACAGTAGTATACATTGCCCAGTGCACCCTTGTAGCGCAGGGTACGAATACCATGCTTCTTCTGCAGCTGGTCACTAAGATCTTTCAGCCATGTGACGGATGGGATATCGTCCAAGCCCAGAACGGTGCACGCCCAAGTGATCGTCTCCATTTGCGAGTCTGAGAAGATTGAACGCGGGAGATGGCGCAAAACATCGAGCACAGCAGCCTGATGGTTTGTCCGTTCAGTTCAAACTTGACATGAAGCAATATGAGTATATTAGAGCATACCACACGGTCAGGATATGGATGGAAATGGGGATCTGAAGGCATGCTGGCAGTTTGGCGTGGTCGCTCCGAGCCTATGAGCGATGCTCAGATTGGAAGTGCTGCGGATTTGCAAGACACTTACCATCTTGTGTATACTCTTCAGGAGCTTGTCCGGGACCAAGATAGACACCCTCGGAGCCATACATATTGATGTCCACACCATCCCCCGTGATGTAGTCAAGCATGCTGTTTGCCATGGTGGCCGGGAAGATGTCAGGAAGGTCCTCAAATCTTTCTTCGGTTTCGAAAGGCGGCATCGAAGAGGACGTAGTGGCCGAGTCGGGCGTGGGCTCTGGGGTGGCAGCTGTGTTACCAGTTCCGTTGCTAAGTTGTGTCAAGAGACTGTGGAGACATCCAATAGCACGCGGGGCCTCAACGGGGTTGTATGAGGGTGGCACAGCACTCCCAGAAGCCTGCCGGTGTTCTCGCTCGGCATCAAGCGCACGCTCTCGCCTTTGCCTATCTAAGTATCTGGCGGCCCTCTGTTGATGGCCAATGCCACCCCCATGGCGCCGGGCAGCACGCGCATCACTCCATTCATCCGGATTCCGACACGCCTTGCAGTGAAAGCGGCTGTGATTAGCACCCGTCCCGATAGTCCACACTGTACCATCATTAATAGCCAGTGAGCATGCATTGAAGGTGGAACTTACCATCAGGATGCATGAACGATCTACGGACTCCATAAGAGCAAGAGACAGCTGAAATGCGATGACAGTTGAGCTTTGCGGGTGAGGAGAGCAAAGGAGAGAGCGGAGACAAGTGTCAAGTCACGCTTCAGGCGCACTCCGCCCCGATTGCGTCGGCTTGTCTCCTGCTCCCATTGCATCTTGAACGATTCGCCGGGATCTCTCACATACCAGCCCCACCATGACTGTGGACGAGTCCAGCAGTGATGAGTACGACCCATCGCAAGATCTCGCAGACCCGACTGGGACGCAAGAAGAACTCCCTTATCGGTTCGAAGCTCAACATGCTATGGATGCCGTGTCAGCGTAAGTAAATACATTCATAGCTGGCATGCAACTCTACAATGCCTTCCATTGCAGCCTGCATAACGCAGGTGGGATGCTTCACAGTCAGACCACCAACACTCAACTCCTCGGCCCTCTGTACGACGACGACGACGACGACGACAAAGGCAGGTCTCTTGATTGAACTCACCCCTGAGCACGGACTGAGAACCTTTGCAGGTGTCTGCATCCGGTGTCAAGCACTCGAAACGGAGATCGAGTCTAAGGATGTCAAGATCCTGTCGCAAGAAGCGGAAATCTGCGCCCTCGACATGCAGGTTGCAGAGCGCGACGCCGAGATCACTCGCTTGCAGGAAAGGCTACGCAAACTCGAACCACGCAGCTGCACACCCGAGCCATCCCGGATACCCGGCAAGATCTCTGTGAGCCTGTCGTACACTGGAGACGTCTCGTACACGTATTCGGGACCATTGCCGGCTGTGCTTGATCACACAACAGAGCCAGCCGACGCTACTACCCCAGCCAACAAGAGTGACGGGGCTCCATGGTCTCCTATCTCTGGTATATTGTCCATGTGTCACTAAACACGTCCGTACTGATGAATATATACAGCGGAGTTCGACTTCAAGAGGGGCGGGTGGTCGCAAGCTGAAGGAGAAGAGCGCGAGCGCGAATCACGCGAACGTAAACGTAAACGAAGGAAGCTGGTGCTGGAAAATGGCTCGTCAGAGAAGAACAATAATGATCTGGAGCTAACGTCTACGCACTCGCACTCAGAGGACCGTGTTGAGGATGTTGGGTCACAGTATCGCCAGGATCCGGCTGAGCGTGCTCTCCAAGCCCATTATGACGAATATTGGTTGGCTAAGGACAAGGGGCCGGAGTGATATTGATATACCAGGTATAGATTTCGACTCTGTGGAGTGGTCGTGTTGGCTGAACAGAGGAATAGGCCGTCGTGAGGGCAAGAAGCAAGCTCGACGGAGATTGAGTTCGGGCGTGCGATGTTCGTTTCCGCGCTCACGCCCTCATCGCCTCCGAGGTTGATTCACCCATTATTACCATCTTTCCTGACCCTACCATGTTCGATGCTTGACGCGGTTTCCCTCTGAAACCGACCTGTTTGCTTAGCACAACCCCGCATTCAATTTCATGGCCGAGCTTGATCTGCTGGCATATCGGTCGATGTTGGCATGAACATTCTGCATCTCCTCCATCTTCTGTGTTCGTTGCAGCGGCATCTACTGCTTTAGACAACGAACGTAGCTCATAAGCTGTGTCTCACTTCGCAAGCGTGCTCCATCGGGCCATGTATCACCCATTGGCGGCATATCTGGTCAAAACTCGGTCGTCCTGGCCGACGGCATCACCGTGGACAACTGGCGCTTTCGTGCGCATATCTAGCTCTTGTCTTCCAACTCGACACGTATCAATCGTGTGAGCTGCATGCTGTACATCCTGGTTTGTATATCCAGTGCTCTACGATCACTGGCTTGCTCCCAGTCTCGGCACGTATTAGGTATGTGAGCTGGGGCCTATATTCCCTGTTCCCTGAATAGATAGAGGAGGACGACTTTCCGCGACCGAAGCAGACCGCGCGAGCAAGGGCTTTTTCCCCCTGCGAGCTTGGTCCGACGAGCGGGGGGAGGAAGCAAGGTGCAACGCGGTTATATACCTCTCGCTTAAGCTGAAACGGCGAAGCAGACACGGCGGGCCGTGTTGTGGGCACACGCAGCCTGCATCGTGCTATTCTCTGGACTGCCATGAACATGCTTTGGGCTGCATACTGCATGAATGTGTTCGATAATGTACGGGACTATCGTTGGAGATATTAGTTGCCCAGGGATGTGAGCACTTGGGGAGACTATGAGCTACTGTATGCCATTGTTCATCATGTTCGTTCTGGGATAGTCTACACTATGCTCTATCTACCTCGCTCAATATTGAGAACTCCGCAATGTACAGTCGGGGACTGCAGGGACTGCCGCTGCTCACATCCAAGGCGTGTCGGCGCATCGGCGACGTTCGGCCCGGTCAACATTTCCGGTTGAGCGGGCCATGGTTGTCAATTTACTAAGTAAACCGTGGCTATAGCCAGTGCAGGCCT